TGTCGGTGTTTCCTGCGCTGCAGAGCGCCGGGTTCGGGCTGCGGCCCCCCCGGGTTCGGGCTGCGGGGCCTTTGCCGTGGCCGGGGCTGGCTCCAGGCCCCGCGAGGGTGACGGGCAGGCCGTGCCGCCGGGAAAGCGTACGTGGGTGGTCGCGGTGCCGAGGCAGAAAGTCAACCGCGAGGGCGGAAATCGCGGTGACAGAAGCGCAGCGAACCTTGACACCGCCGGTCAATTATTACGACGCTATAGAAGATTGTATTTGGGAGGGGTCTCGGGGTTGTCCGATTTTCTTCTTTCCTGAACAAGGATTGGTTTGTACGTGGTGGTTTGCTGTAAGGCTCCTGAATCTTTTCTTCGAATTTCCAGTGTTCGTAAGATGGATAAATACAAACTCATTTTCAGTTACTCAGTACGCAGGCAATTTTCTTTTTTTTTTGCAGGATTCCACCGGTAGGCCCATAAAAATACAGCAAATCATTTTGCATCACGTTCGTGCATTTGTTGCTTCAGTAATGTTTCAGAAGAGTAAAGCCAGTTGCTCCCTTACATAGTTAGGAGGCCAAATGTGACAGGAAGAGGTAGTGTCTATTCAGTCTTGATTTAAGATGGCGTTTCCAGACCATCTTACAAGAAAACGCTGCAAAATCTTGCTCCGTTGAAGTGAGCGCAGGGTTCTCCTATGTCTTGGATCCTTAGCTGACCGTCCGGCACGACTGCGCACAGCCCTCTCCCTTAAGGGACGATGTGAGATGCCTACGCTTAAAAGATGATTAAACATTTTAACAACAGGGGTATTGTGAAGTGTTTTGTAAAACACAAAATTCCACCTGGCCTTAACATCATTCTTGGCACAATAAGCATGTTGAATAAGTTGCACTAAAATCATATTTACCTGCCACTTCGTGCAAGACAGGATTTAGCAGGCATCAGTCACGACGGTCCTTTCCTAAAGATTTCACCTCAGCCTTTATTATCAGGGTTATGCTAATCTGTTCTCTGGAGATTTGAGTCCAGCTCGAGACCGAGTTTCAGCTATATTAAATCTGAATACTTGTATTTCCTATTGTATTTGTTCACACACAAAAATCACCAACCGATTAAAAATTCCTCTATTTGTGGTTAACGTTTAATATTTCGACATTTTGGTTGTCGCCTATATACTGAATTGTATCCCAGCTGAGAGGAATTTTTCGCTCGCTCCCTTCCAATGCTTTTCTTTCAGGGCTTTTGAAATTCGCGACTCAAATAATGCTTGTGAAAGGGAATTCATGCAGTTTGATTATCCAAGATTTAATTTAAGAAAACGTAAGGAAGAGATCGGCCCCTGATTTCTACGTCTGTGTGTAGCGCTCTAGGTGTAGAGCATAGCTGCTGTGTTGTATTCATTAACTGTGAGCATATGTACTAGTTTAAGGGAAGTGTACCCCTGTCGCTGGGCTAATAATCTTCCTTTATTGCCTGAGGTGAAACGAAAAGGCAGAAAAGAAGGTGACTGCGTTGCCCAAAGAGTTTGCAACAGACTCATAGACGGGACTGCATGACTGCGATAAAGGCCAGAATTTTTCTTACCGTTCCAAAAGACGCAGGCATCTTCCACGCGAAACGTTCCTGCAATTACTAGGGTTCTGCTCTACGCCCGAGCACTTCTGCGCCGGTGCCCAACAGAGGGCAGGGGCAGCCCGCACGCTTTTTAAGCTCTCGGCTCGGCCTGTTGCCGGAGTAGCGCAGGCTGGCGC